ACTAGATGTATATAGACACTGTGCTTTGTGAACTCTGCTCGGCACCAGCATTCTTGTTGCTTCCGCCCCCGGGAATCCGCAGCACCTGATTTCTGTTGAAATGTGTTTTAGCCAAATGCATCCCTCTTTGAGGCCTGCTGCAATGAACGGATCCAACAGTTTGATGATAAAGAGGAGGAGGAAGATATCTGGGAGGAGAAGGAAATAACCTATGCAACCCAAGTCAAATCAAGAACACGGTAAGGTGAAAGCAAAAGGTCTGTCTTTTTTTTCTGAATATTGTCAGGTTGTATATTCCAGTTCATTATTCCTTATAAATATGTGCTTTGGAGCCTTTTGCGTGTATAAAACAGAATGGCTTTATGAGAGTTGCTCCTATAAAGAGATTATTGCTTGTCTTAAACTTCGAGCAAGACACCTGTCATGTACAAATGAGGCCAGGCTTGAGGGCATGTAATAATGAGGGAAACACTAGGATACACAACCAATTGTGGAGGAGAGAAACTGCCTTTATTTGAAGAATTTTTTAGAAGCCATTCCTTTTCTCACCTCCCAGAAACTGAGTGTAAAGCCCATGTCTTGTTCCAGAGGAAGAGGCAGAGAGAACAGCGATTAGTTTGTTTAATAAGGCAGGAGATGTAGGGTTCTTTTTAAAATTGTGAAAACAAGAAAAAATTGTTTTTGGCGAGAATTAGGGCCCTTACATGTTGTGTAGCTGGTATTGTAATGAATTTGTGATCCATCCCTTAGATTTATTAATTATTTAATAATAAATTCTTCTATAGTTGCAGTTTTAAAAGATGTGGACAAATTGGACAACAGAAACAACCAAGAGGCTGAAATTGAATTGTGTGAAATGTATTAATATTCTCAGTCCAGTTGCTAATGGACAATTATCTGCATCACACAAGCCAGCAGGCCAGGTGGCACTAACTTGCCTGCTGTTCTCGTTCTCAATCTCGATTGAGATTGAACTCACTTCCCTGGCCTAGAAATGATTCTTCTAGGACGGGCGGCAGGTGTTAGGTACTGTAGAGGGGTTGTGTGGGGAAGCTTGCCCTGCTGTTGCCTATGCGCTATATTTTGGAAATAAATACTGTAGAGGACCTCAGTCTCCAGGGCAGTCAGTTCCAGCACCTTTATCAGCTGCGAATTAATAAATCCTAACGGGATGGGTGTGACCATTCTCGGTGCCAGTGAGAATCAGTTAAAATCACTGATGCACACTGTAACACCAGCTGGTTTGCTAACTTTAACTTTCTTGGATTTAGAAGGGGACAACTTCCAAATCGAATCTTTTTGTTTTTATTAAAGATCATTTGTAATGTCAATTTTGTTTATCCTTTGCTTATCCTTCGCTCTGATGCTTCTTTCTTGTTGTTCTGGACTGATCACTCATCCCAACTTTTCAATCATTGCAGTATGGAAAATGTAATTGAGTAAAATCACTGTGTTTTAGTCAGTTTCCATTTGATGTGTGTAAAAGCGGAAAGATTTGTTTACTGTCCTGTGTAATTTTTGTTTATATATAACAAGTATACTCCCGCCTGTCCAAATCTCCTTCTCCCAAATATCTAAGTGAAGAAAGTAGTCTTATGCCACCGAAGATGAAGATGGACCTATATTAATTGAATTAGGCCTTCTGTTTCCTTTTTATGTGTACAAGGTTGAATGAAAGGTCAGAAATATGTAGCTGCTGCTAGTAGGAATGAAAATTGTGGGTGCAATAAAGTCATAATTCTCATTTGATTAGAAATGTAAGTCAGACTTTTAGTGATCACATTAAAATTGATTTTTTTATTCAGACTCAGTTATCTTGAAAATGCTTGTATGTGTAAATTAGAATATGGAAGGTTGTTTGCATTCATAGTGTTTATATCCTCAGGGTGCAATGCATACATTAGCTAATTTAGCCCTCCTACCCCCATTTTACAAGTGAAAGAGTAATTTAGTGGCTTCAGTTGTAATTAAAAAGAAATCTATGAATCAAACTGTACAAGGTATGCCATGATGTCCATGACAGATCTGCCCTCCCTTGAGTTCTGTATTCTTCTTCCTCTTTCCTTCCCACCCACTTCTGTACTTCGGTCTCTTGCCTTTTTTGTTATGTTTAGTTTAAAGTGCATGCTCCTCAGGGAAAGACTGTCTTTTGATGTGCCTGTAAAGTGCTGTGCACACCTGTGATACTACTGTGAATAATAATAATTGACTTATGAGAAATGATTCAGGATTGTTTGTATAGCTTTATTTAGTGATGGGGAGAAGGGTGTAGTAAACACAGGAACAACGAGGAGTTCGCTGGCACCTTGAAGACTAACTGATTTATTTGTGCATAAGCTTTCGTGGGTAAAAAAACCACTTCTTCAGATGCGTGACTCCATGCATCTGAAGAAGTGGGTTTTTTACCCACGAAAGCTTATGCCCAAATAAATCTGTTCGCCTTTAAGGTGCCACCGGACTCCTCATTGTTTTTGTGGATACAGACTAATACGGATACCCCTCTGATACTTGGTAAACACAGGAGGGATTCTGTAGGGGTTTACTGGGAATATAAATGGGAAATTATGGGAAGAAACTACAAAACAGAAAATTTAGGCTGAATGTTAGGCCAAAATTCCTGAAGGACATTTATTAAGCTGAGGAATATCTCCCGTAGGAAGCCCTGTCTTTTATGATATCAAAAACTACATTGATCAAAGCATTAAAAAACACACTTTAAGGAAGCATCCGGACTGTCCCTTTCTTCCCCCTCCTGATGGGACTAGCATCTAGGACTACATGGCCTAATAGGTCTTTCTAACTCTGATTCTATGATTTAGGTTTGGAGTGTCTCAGACCTCAGAGAGTTCCTCAAAAAGTGATCTAGAGAATGGGGATCATGATGGCAGTGTGGACTCAGAAGAAGAGGAAGAAACAGAAGAACAAACAACACCTCTCACCGAGAACACCAACAAGAATAATCCTTCTGAGCAGAAAGACTCTGACTCTACTGAAGGTAAGAAGTTCAACATACCATCTTAATTAAGTCTCCAGAAACATGTCTCAGGCAGTCTTTCCTGGAGGTCTACCACTTGGGTGTATGTATAGCCACCTGCAAGCCACATGACTATTGAGGCTACTCGATAATGTAGCCTCAGCCGCTGGGAAGTAAAATGTTCATTGTGAATTTGCATCTGTGTATTCCTGCCTTAAACATGTTGTAGGG